TCAGAGGCCAGAGACAAACTGAAGGCTCTACTGAGTGACGAATGGCCAAAAATCTCACTGACAGGCACTAACCTGGAGACTTTACGGGATCCAGAACATTTTGATGACCACAATGAAGACTCCATATCACGGGTTGGTCAGGAAAATGCCAGTGCGCTTTTGATTCGGTACCAGAGACTATTTGCTACATACCAGTCTTCTGCTTCCTTGCCACGTCCTCTCCATACCAGAAGAAGAAAATTCTAACCAGATTAAACTGATCTATATAGAGACAGCACACACGGGCATTGAGGTGTGATAGGAACAGAACAACAACTCTCAGTCTCTATGTGCTGCTTGTTGTCATTTACAAAATGTTGGAGACACCGTTGGGTTGTGTGAGTCCCAGTAAATGGAAAGTATTGAACTGTAAGATGATGTGCTCGATCATCTGATTTGTTCAAGTGTGTCTTCAAGATGAAACTTTACGGATGCGATTATAATGCTTAGTTTTTATGTTGTTTCGTTTGCCAAATGAATATTCAGTGAAATTGTTTCTTCTGCTAACAAAATATGAATCTACAAACTTTGTTTTTGACTTATTTACTGTCTGAAAAATTAAATGTTGTATTTACTGTAACTTTTCAAGAGATATATTATATGGAAAATAATCAGCATTTAAAAAATATCAGTAGTTCATTGTGTGTATATATATTGAATTGTAATATAATATAATATAATGTTATATAATATAACACAATATAATATATACCAAATAAAGGTTGTTATTATAAGAAAGAAAATGAAAAATGCCATCACTAGACACTGAACTAGACGTTTGATTTTGTTGTTGCTGTTTTGTTTTTGCTCTTTTATGAATAAAGTTTCCTATTATAAAAATATTAATAATGTCATTACTAGCCCTTTGCTATAACAAAACCCATTGTGTTAGTTTACAGCAGAAACAGCTTCTGTGTTTGTATTTGTAACAATATGCTGAATATGTTTTAATGTATGAACTTATTCAAATATCTTCACTCATAAAAATAAGTCTATCAGGAAACAGTAGTAAAATTCAATAACCAACAGCACACAAGTGAAGAATTTAATGTTTATGAATAGTAATCATTCTACCAGCAAGTCTTCACATGAACTTATAATGTTATATTATTATCATATTAAATTGCAGCTGAACTAATTGGGGTCAGTTTGTGTTTTGAAAGATAATAATAAGGCTGTGGCAACTTAACTTTGCACCAAATTCTTTTTTTTTAACTTTGACACAAGATGAAGCCGAACACTTGCTGCTCTGTCAGGTACAAAACCCAAAACATCTCCCTGAACTGATTCCTTTGTAAAGGATTGACTTCAGCAAGGTCACTATAATCTGATGTGTAAACTTTATCACTGGTAACTTGTCACTCTCATGGTTACATGCTGGAAGATAACAGAGCAGCTAAAGCTGGTCGAAGGTTGAACAGACAGCAGAGCTGGAAGGCAACGTCATTAAAAAATATATCTGCAGTTTGCTTCATCTTTTAATGTAGATGTGCATTTCTGTCCAGCTGCAAGTTTGTCCAGATATTTCTAGAGAAGAAAAAAGCACACAGATGGACAACAAAAGCACAAAAGTGAGGAAACAATTTAAATCTTATAGATCCACACATGTAAAACAGACATTTGTACACAAGACGGAGGGAGAAAGTCATGTATCAGATTTTTTTTAAAAGTAATATAAATACATGCAGTCAAGAGATTTACATTTAAAATATATTTAATGTCTATTTTACAATTTTGCATTTTGACAAGTGTTACATCCCAGCTCTGCCACGGTACTGTGGAGAAATATAGTTGTATTTGACTTTGCAAAGTTATTCATTGATTTGTAATATGATTAGCAAAGAAAGGAGGCATAATCGTAAATAAAAACAGGAGCTGTAGGTGTTGCAAAATAATTGAACAGAAAAACAATCAAAACAGGGCTGATTCTTCATTGTAAATATTCCTACAAATTTCTATTTTTATTCATTTGTATTACTTAAAATTTGCTGGATTTGCAACACTGTCTGTTTAAAAGTTCCTCTACTGTGTGTTCACTGTAATGCACCAAATCATCACATCAAATTCCTCGACTGTAAAAACCTACTCGGTAATAAAACAGATCTGATTCTGCTACAATCATAAAAAGCTGAAGGAAACTAAGCTTTCAATCAATAAAGTTAAATAAATAAAAAAAACATAATAAACTTTATACATTGCATCCAGATTTGTGCTTTGGTCAGTAATTCATGGTGTTTTATAAATGTACAGCATGTCAGTTGAAAGCTGCACCAAAGGATCATGATTACTGTTCATGTCTAAAGGGGATATTAAAAATATAAATACATTTATTATGCAAGTGAACGCCCAGGTCATAAAAAGCAAATACAGCATAAACGAAACTTAAGGATGATTATGAAAGTCCTGATATGTGAACATTTTGGTGCATGTTGCCATAATTTCATTTAAACAAAGAAATACTGTTATAATAGCAATAAAGAAACTGTCTATTTATTCTGCAGAGTAACCCAGAACTTCATTCTAACTAAAGCCTTTCTGAAACAAACTGGCCCTCCCTTCTTCTCAAAGACAAAGTCCATTCAGCACAGACACGTTGGTTCCCTCCTCTTTCACAGATCTGCCTCTTAAAGACTTCAGATCAGAGCATTAGAGCGACAGAAAGTAAAGACACTTGCAGCCGTAAAGACAAGACACTAGCCTGTGATTCAGATGGCTCAAGAAAAACTGAGCTGTTCCATCTGTCTGGATCTTCTGAAGGATCCAGTCACTATTCCCTGTGGGCACAGCTACTGCATGAGCTGCATGAACAACTTCTGGGTTGACAAGAGAACATACAGCTGCCCTCAGTGCAGCCAAAGTTTCACGCCGAGGCCTGCCCTT